CGCTTGATGGTTGAGTTACATTGAGGACTGACACAAATTGAACACGAAACCTTATAGTTTAGTCCAATACGCATCATTTCAAAAGCGTTCATTGAAAAAGCAGTTTGAAATTGTCCATTAAATAATTACCAATGATAAATGAGAGACTGATTAATACATCAAACTAAGGGTCAAGTCGTTACTAATAACTCAGTAATATTATGATAACATTGCAACAACTTACCAGATGTATCTTTATAGGATTTAACTAGTTTAATAGTTCCATTGTTATCGATGCTTAAAAATCTTGCTTTCATTGAATAATTTTGTGCGAACGGAGTTAAAAGCAATGGTGAAGTATCTAAATTAGACATATAAAATGATAAGCTACGTCTAGATCTATGTGAACGCATAATCACATTTGTTATTGGTACTTTACGACTTGAATGAGTAGAACTTAATGTTTGAAAAGTTGATAAATCTAAATACTGTAACAATAAATCATCCACACTTGATGCTTCCATTGTGTGATTAGACGATATTACTAGTGAGGGTGGAGATAAAGATGAATCTGGCGATATTGTTAATGATGACAAGTCGGAAGAGTAAATCGATGAAGTGGTTTCGGCAAAAGTTCCATTTTTAGACAATGAAGTAGGTTTACCATTGATACATTGTACATTGAATAAAGTGAATAATAGGTACACAAATATAGCATAATATTGCATGGTAAATTCAAATCGATGAAAACTGCTTTTGGAACTGATTGTTCGATATGAATAACATCGGAAATGTTTACTGGAATCATACTCAGCAGTATTTATACATTCATTATGAGCAGTGTCAGAAATAGCTGTTTCATAATTCATGTTTTTTGAGGATTTCAGGTGATCAGAAACAGTTTTTATCTCTCTATACCATGAGAGATGTTGATGAAAGTGAGTACTTCGTCTTGATGACAACTGGATTCTATGATTGTTTTTGAAATACCGATAATTAATGACATCCTTATTTGTCATAATAGTCCTGTATCGGGTTAAACATTGTCCTAGTAGATATTTAATGCATATCACGTAAAATCGTAAATAATATGTCACGAGAATATCGTTGAACCGTACTAATGATCTCAGTAAGGAAAATAGCTTGAAAAATATTTTAGATATGGTTGAGGGTAAAAACCATAATGATGATGACGTTGGCAATGACAAAGAAGACGACAACAATATTGATTGTGATGATGTGGATGAGTAAAGTGAATGCAAAAATATATGTAGTTCAGCTTTAATCCAAATAATATCCAAGTGTAATGAATTCGAGTTGCATAAATGCATCAGTTCAATTTAAGAAGTAATTAGAAAAGTTATTTATTTATCTATCCAGAAAACAAATGAAATCCGAATGTAGTTTTCATGTGTTTAACAACAACTGGTCAGTTTCATAAATGATATTCATGTGACCGCAAAAAAGCACGTTGATAATTAATTACAAGCAATTTGTTCAAGTTTCACTGTTACTACACATGAAACAAGTACAATAGTAAACATCAAGTGTAAATGAATTGAATGATGAATAAGATTTATCATAATTATAATGATGAATAAGATTTTTGTGTTTGTATCACCCACTCAGATTAATTTTATTTTGTAGTTGATTCGCAAATCGACCAATGAATGATTAGGAAAAATAAATTGTATACATACATTACCAAGCACACATATTTAGATGTATATTTATTGTCCAGATTGTGTTCAACATACTTGTACAATTGTATGATGGTAACTATAATAAAAACACTTGGTGTGTAGTTGATAATATAGATAGATAGATATACATTAAGATGTGTGTTTCATTAATCTGGCAGTCAAAATCCTCCTTTCACAATCCTTTTAGAATTTCATGTCGAAGTTTCTTGACTAGCACTCAGAGTAGATTTATCATCACCAGTAGTTACGTAAGTCAAAATTTACCACCCAATCAACTTTGAATGATAACCTAGTAAAAAGACAAATGCAAAAGAACTAAGTAATCACTTCGGAAATCCCCTGTTACCGATTTCGTTTTTAATGTCCTACAATTTAAAGCATGGTATATCTGGTTGCCCCGAAATTTTAATCTACATCTCCACAGAGAGAGAGAGAGGGTTAAAGAATAGGTGAAAACTATTCAAGAAAGCGTAGGTGCTTTTTCTTAACAAGAAATATCCATCAACATAATCAAGCATCATATTCCTACAGACTGATGTCATCTAATGTATCACTGGTAGCCAGTGAATATTTAGTGATGCTTACATGTAAGTCTGAAACTGTTCAGTAAAGCTAATGCATAATCTTGTGTAAGACAGATTCAATAGGACAAAACAGATATTTAGTGATTCCCTAATACAGGTCTGATGTGATTCCCAGTCGATATCAGTTTGTGATGAAGTCCTAGTCTCAGGTTGTGTACAAAATCTTCACCAATCCACTATCATAATACTATAAGATATTTTTCATTGAAAAAATAAGAGAATTTTGGATAGATGAGTTGAAATAACACTGGAAACACAATAAATAAAGTCAGTAAGCCAAAGAAAACAAGTAATAATGGCGAATCTGATATAAAATTCAATGATTAAACTTTTACTCAGGTAATACATGGTGACTACTTGAATACGGTACTAATTATGGTCTGATACCAATGAGGAAACCGTTAAATGATATAGAGAATAGAAGATTGGAAAAAACCGGAAGTCAGTGAACCAATTCTGTGCAGTCCTGTGTATGGATGTTGCACAACTCACAATTACTCAATTGTTTTGTCTAATTAATATCCCACAAGTATGACAAGGGGAATTTGTTTATTCTAGCCAGTCTCTCATTATACGACAGCTTTGAGATTCCAGGACTCCAATTATTTATTGATCTTTAAACTGTTTTTCGTAACAGTATACTGGTTATTTCCAGACAGAAGCTGATTGTTTGTATCCTATATTTGGGTTTTAGTATAACTAACATTGTACACGAAGTCAACAATGTGTGAACAACCAGGTTGCTGAAAGCCCTGTGTATTGACCGACCACGATTAATTCACTTAACTTTCAACCAGATAGTCGTGGATTCGAAATCAATAGTAAGCGAACAAGTGAAATCCAGGAGTACTGAATAGTTTATTTTTGTATTGGTTGCAATTGGCCAGTTTCTTATTGGCATACATGCCTCGATATTGACTTAAATCACAAGTGTAATAAGCAGAGATGCATGATGGCTAGCAATGGGATCCAGGACACGCGTCCCGTCCTACTTGGGACTCGTCACCTGGATGTGCCTGCATCAAAGAGTTGATGTTCACTCTGAGATTCGAACCCACTACCGTTCGCCTCATACACCATCGCGCTATAATAATTGTTTTATTTCAGTTTCAAGTTTCTCAATAGTGTACATTCTCAACAATAGACGGAATTGTGTCTGGTTTAACTTAGGCATTTTGAAGATTTAGTGATATATTATGAAATAATGAGTTATCCAAATCAGAAGCTAGAGTAGATGATTAAAGAGAAGTAGACGAAGCAAAATGAGACATCCCATAAAGACTGACTCCTTTCGGTTATTATTTGCAAGGATTTGCTTTTTACCGTTGTGCATATTCGTAACCTGATTTGACCACTGTCGACTAGCTCATTGATGAAATGATACGATATTGGATGTAGGTTAACTTTCATGCTAATTTTCATTAGTTGTTAGTGGTTGAATACATGAAGTACTTTTTGTTCTGTTTTGCAGTCATTAGGTGTATAAAAATGAATTCCAATGTTGATGTCACAAATCTTATGAATATGTTATAATGTCCAAGAAGACATTTGCTTGTTTTTGTTTTCGGTGTCGGTGTTTTAGTGATTCCAATGAAAGATTATTATATTTTTAACTGGACAATTCCGTCTGATTGAAAACGTAAATTTGCTTTAGGAGCTTTTTTGGAATTAGATCAAAGAAACTGATACATTTGTCAAATCAGTAAATGCAAACAAAAGAATTGACACTATTGAAAACCTTCTTACAACAGTGGTTTACTCTAATGTTTCGTGACTCAGTGTGCACCTCTTCATCAGAGTGGTTAAACAAATAGTCTGAGTAAATTAACACAAATTCAGGTAATCTAAAGGAACAATGAAGAGTATTTGGTTCAATCGAAATCAAAAATAAGAATAAGTCTGATTCTGCCAATGTCATACCATTTCGGTCAAGGTGATTTTGTGTGAGAAATTATTCGGTGTATTTGCATGTATACTGGTAGGTATACAAAATGTGTATTTAATCACGTGAAGAGGCAGATTTGAAATTCGAATGTGTGTGCTTGTGTTAATTGTATGAGGAATGAACTGACTTAAATGTGATTGTCTGTATAATCGATTCAAGTTGTGTGAACAGTAAGGTCTTCTTTTCTCTAAGGACAGAGAGATCTAATATTACTTGAGAAGACTCAGCTATTCACTTTTCTTTAGAGTCGGAGAATCCTTTCTGAATTATGTGGATATTTGTGGTTTCTGCTTGATAGTTATTGTACATAGCATGTGCTGCTACTGCCAATCTTATCTGTAAATTTTCCAATTCTACAAGATTATTAAGTGGCCTTTCTGTGTAGCCTAAATCTTTCCTGGCACGAGTTGAGATTTCACGAGAAGACTCTCGAACATAGAACACATCACAACGGAGACCACTTCATCTGTAAACGTAATTCTGTGTGGGTGTAAATGAGATCTTTTCCTTAGTTGAAACTAAAGCATTTTGACCAGATCTAGTCACTGTTTAGAAGTCTTAACCTTGTATATTTTCAAGATGCATTTCAGCTCTTCTGTTGTACCGTAACGATAGGACAAAACTATGGCACCAATCTATGATATCTCATTAAAGTTGTTATTTAAAGATGGATCGTTTCGTTTTATTATGTTTCTGATAAAGTTCATGAGGAAATCATCAGGTCTCAATATGTTTATTATGTGATTTCTTCCTGCAGCTCATCTTCATCGAAAGTGATGATCTTGTTAGCTCTTCAGATTAACTTCAGAGCCAGGGAAGTTTTTCGTACTGTATGAACGTGCAGAGCTGAAACTGATGTACCGATTTGAATGTATCCGTTTTCTGTATATGTTCAAATTGAGATTTCCATTAAAATTCCTTTTAACCTAAATTTGTTTCCAATAGCTGTCTTATAGACATTTTGACAGTTATGTTGTTAAAATGCACTAACTAGTTCATTTTATTTTTCAATTTTCGAAGTATAATGTTACAGTCTAGAAGTGCGTTCAACATTCACATTCATAGGTAAGATGTAGTCAGAATTTTTTAACTGAATATATATGTATATAGTGGTTCTTTGTTTCTGTGATACAACTATCCTTTCTGATCTTGTTTATTATGACTGTTATCATTGAACTGATATAGCAAAATCGATCCAACTATAGTTATTCATAATGTACAATGCATGGTTTACCAAATTCATTATATTTTTAAATCTAATGTACTTATAAATGTGGGAATTTACCATCTCAATTGTGAATATACAATAGATAACCTTAATAAATAACCTTAATATATATCTAATAGACTAGCAAATATGAATTGATGTAAAATATATAATCTTATGTTTAGAGTTTTACTCACTTAACCATCTTAAATATGTTTTTAAAAAGTTACTATCATTCTACTAAATGTAATTTCTATGGCTATGAACTTATAGTTTAATAGGGCACAACATTTGATTAGTAATCACTATAATCTAATTTTGTTGACTGGTGAGAAAAACAATGGGAAAAAAATCTTTACCTTAATGATGAATTCGAAAGTCATGAGAAAATGGAATAGAACTAACCTGAATTATTTGTGTGTTATCATGAATGCGAATACTTTCATAAAGGCGAAGGACATCGAATGAATAATGAATAATTTAATTTTTCCAAATAATTGTGTTCATAATACTGCTGGTTCTACTGTATCACTTATTACAATATTGTTCTGTGGTGTGTGCTACTGATGTTGATGGGTATAAGTAGTATGCCTGGCAGCGGAAAGTCAACAAGATAGAAGAAAAGAGAACGAGAATGGAGAATGATTGGTGTGCAAACGAAGGAACAATGAAGTATTTTGCAAATGAAATATTTACTGTATGGTTCGCAGATTTCACTAAGCGATTTTGTAATTTTGTGTTCGAATACATTCGATTGTCTCTACTTGTGTTCTCGTTCTCTACATTTCTTTCTCTGTTTGCTTCAGTGCAAGTAGGATTAGCACACAGGTGAATATATGTGAAGCAAGTGCTTACGTAAACAGTGTACGTATAAAATGTAAACGTATGAACA